ATCCATAGAGCTGTGCAGTGGTGATGGGTGTGTTCTAGGGTGATATCAGAAGCATCATTGATGATACACACCTTTAATTTGTACTTGGGGTGCTGAAGCAGGTGCATATCTCAGAGCTCAAGGACAACTTGTTCTACAAATCACATTCCAAGACAGCCAAGGCTACGTAGAGAGACCCTGTCTCAACAGGCAAACAAACAGGTTTTGGCTTTACCAGGAACTCCCGCATCTGAGAAGTTCCTGTGTGCCCGTGGTCGCAGCGGGATTCTTTGGAGAGTTTCTCATATCTCTGTAACCTTTCTCTTCTCTCTAACCTCTCATGGTTTGTTCTGCTCTAATTTTTTTTTTAATTTCACCACTCATGATTACTGTGTTATCTAGGTCAAGATTCCTCAGGTATCATTAGGTGGGAACCCATTTATAAACTGCACAGATTTCCATGTAGTGGTGTAAGTGGGATTCTCATGTGTGTCCTGCTCCTCCCACCTCCACAGATGAAGGGTGCTCTTGTCCCCCCCCCACACCACAGTGTCCCACACACACACCAAGAATGCTCTCGTCAGTCCCACCCCCACACTCCAAGGGTGCTTCTTGCCCATACTGTTTGTTCCTTCCCCCTTCTCTCAGCATGGGTGCTCTGTGGTTTCTGGTTTGGTTCTTTTCTTCCTTCTCATTTTTTGTTCTCAGAGCAGCTTCTGCTTCTGTTACCCAGACACCCTGTATGTTGTTAGTTCTTGTTAGTCTTTGCAGAGCTCAGAGCTCCCCACTCTAGGTTTGGACATGACAGGTATTTTAGAGAGATTATTAGCCCTCTCTTCTTGTGGTAACTTTCTACTTTAGATGTGTGGACAGTCACTGTGAAATCCTTGGCCAACACAAGGGTGGTAAGTGTAATGCAAAGTGTCTGTGTGCTTTGTGGGGTGAAGGGGGTGCCCAGTCCCACCTTTACTTCTCACCCCACTTTATGTGGTGATTGCTGTCACCTCAGCTTATGGTGGAGTTTTGGATTTGTAATCTGTGAGGTCCTGCTTAACTTCACAAATGAAGAGTCTGTGGTTTCTTCCCAGCTAACTTTTCACTGTGCACGTGTGAATCAACATGGCCTGATCTTTGATTATTCTAAGAGACAGCCCCAGCCCATAGTTCATGACTGAGCCTTGAAGATGTTTTCCTGCCCTGAGTGATTTAGTTTGAAATATTAGGTTCCTACACCTCTTTTTTTTATTTTTAATTTTTTTTTTAATTTAATTTACATAGGCCAAATATGTGTGGCTGCTCACAGAGGCCAGAAGGGGGCATCCGAGTCCCTGGAACCAGAGTCAGAGGTGGTTGTGAGCTAACTTACTAGGGTGCTGGGAACTGACCTCATATTTTCTGGAAGAGCAGCAAGCACTCTGAAACCTTGTGCCGTTGCTCCAGCCTGGCTCCTGCATGTACGTAAAGGGCTGTTAATGTTGAGAGTTAGCACTAGCCTGCAGACAGAACATAGCCCTGTTCTTAGATTTCTGTCTCCAACTTCATAGAGCACAGCAATAATGACCTCCTGGATCCTCTGTTTCCTCCTGAGTTAGACACAGCTTAGGAATTGCTCATTCATTCAACAAGTACTACAAAGTATAATGAAACAGCCTTTGCTAAATATAACATGCTGGGAAACTATGTACTAAGAAACCAAAGGAAAATTAAAAAGGTTCAACTGGGCACTGACATTCTGAAGCTACTGTGCTATCCTCTAATAGGGGAGAGGATGCTCAGGTCCTTACTAAAGAGTACAAATGTTCAGAAAGGCTCCTTTCTCCAATGCAGCTCAGCTCTATCCTTCACCTGTGTGTGGTACTCCGTGATCATCACAGCGGGCATGGCCTACATCTTCCTCATCCAGTTGATAAACATCAGCTACAATGTGACTGAGAGGGAAGTCCAGCAGGCCCTTCGGCAGAAGACGGGCCGCCGGCTCCTCTGTGGGCTCATCGTGGACACAGGCCAGTACAACCGCGGCTTCCTGCGCAATTGGCACCAGTTCTCCACCCTGGGCACACACCCTGCCCACGCCCCTGCTGAGGACATCGTCTGAAGTGCCTTCCGTGCCGCTCTCCTTTCTCTGTCCTGTCTGTTTCACACTTGGTATCCATGAAGGGTTCATCTTCATCACCGTCTTCTCAGAGGTGTAGGGCCATGCTCAGGTTTGAAGACAGGACTGAAGAAAAGGTCATTTCCTTTTGACTTCATAACTTAAGGGATTTTGATACTAAAGCTGCAGGCGTAGAGCCGTTCCTTTCCAGTCACCTTGCTGACTCAGTCACCAGAAGCTGCCAGGGATGTGGGTTTCTCAGGCCCAGGCCAGTAGAAGGAGTTTCTGCCCTCTCATCTGAGGAGTGTTACTAGGATAGTCCCTAGTTCTCCTTTCAGTTCTTAAGAGCCATATGACCCCTTGGTAGCGTGGCTTTCCCAAGTCTCAGGTTCATCTGCACGGGGGCCTCTGCTGCCTAGCTACCTCATGGAGCAGCCATGAGGGCCATCTGAGGAAGGACGTGGAAAGTACTCCGATCCAACTCAAGCACTCGGCGGGATCCCTAGGACTGAAGCAGTCCGTAGATCAGAACATTGAAGCCGATATTATTAAGACAATTGGTGTGTACAGTTATAGAAATTCTCCTTAGTGACAGATCCTGTCCTCATGGACTGGACGTGACAGGAGGCTCGATGCTGGTCATCTTGTCTTGGGAAGGATGAGAGTGATAATTACTATCTATGCTGTGGGCAGTGGGCAGCAGATGGATCATTGTAGATTTACTCTAATGCTGACAAACATTAATGTCTTTCCTCCTTCCCATTTCACCTGGTGAGGTGCTAGCACACTGGTGGGTGATGGTGTCTGGACGGAAGGAGACTGTCCTGGGACCTACCCTCCTTCCTTCCTAAGGAGGCTGATTAATAGCAAGGGCTTGATTTTTTATTATTGTTCGTGTATATCTAGTGCTGTAGGCTTATAGCACACAATGGGAACATGCGCCTGGCATGAGCTCTCGGGGTGACTGACAGCTTCCCACATCCACACATTGCTGCTTGCTCCCCTTTCCCTATTGAAAGTCTCTAGGGGAGAAGAACTGGGTATGTGCACTTTCCAACAGTGGACACCTGACTGCTCTTCCTAACTTCCGATGTTGAACTGCTCCTTTGTGTCCCAGAGCTGGAACATAGGAAAGACTGTGTGTTCCTGCAGCATGCACTGTCTTTCTGCTCCTTCTTGATGTGTTTGGTTTTTACACATGTACTGTTCTGGGATCCCAGATCAAAGATAATTTCTGAGACCTTAAATTTGCCTTGGCCTTGTTGCTCAGAGATGGGAAACAGTGCTGCATTTTCCCTTTTGTGCCTGCTTGTTAGCATTGAGAGGAAATACCACCTCCTCTGAATTAGCCCTGTCCTTTGCAGCAGGTGCCACCCTTAGACTCGCCACTAGCCAGGGCTCTCCTGAAGACAGGCGCCACATTTCCATCCAGGGTTGTCATTGCTCTCCCCAGAGATCTATTGTTTAACGAACACTAGACTCCATATTCTACTGGGGCTCACTAGAGAGAGCCTGGGGTGTTTTCAGTTTCTTGAGCGATGCCTGTCCCTGGCGTAGAGTCAGACACTCATTTAGAATGAAAGTTGGCTTGGATACAACTAATTTCTGTGTGGGTTGTAGGTAAGAGAGATGGTAGTAATGTCAGACAGTGTATGTGGGCAGAAATTGGTAGTTTTCATGTCTCTTGAATGCCAGGTATATAGCCAACTCTGAATGTCTAGCTGCTGCCAACATTTATAGAGATCATATAGTCAGTGTTTGTAGCCTGCCTCATTTTCAGCGGCAGTGCAGATGTGATGTGATGGTGAGTGCTACAGCAAGACCCTCACTAGGAATGAGGAATGACCACTGCCTTCCTCAGAGTTTGCCGTCAAGGGTCAGTTCCCCTCACGCTGTTGGGAGGACTCATTTTCGGCTCCGTGGCTCACTGGAATGAAATGAAGACGCTTAGGTTTCTTTTCTTTTTAGATTTTCTTTGTGTGTGTGTGTGTGTGTGTGTGTGTGTGTGTGTGTGTGAAGGCCAGAAGAGCTCTCCTGGAGCTGGAGTTACAGGCATCCATGAGCTACCTGCCGTGGGTACTGAGAACTAAACTTGGGTCCTCCAGAAGAGCAGCCTGTGCTCCTCACTGCTGAGCCATCTCTCTAGCCCCGGAGTTTAAGTTCCTGGAGAACTGAGGGGAGGGTTTCAGAAAGTCAGACCTGTAAGAAGATCCTTGTTCTATGGCTTTTTCAGCCTTCCCATTCAGTCTTCCCTACTGAAAGTCTCTAGGGGAGAAGAACCGGGTATGTGCGCTTTCCAGCAGTGGACACCTGACTGCTCTTCCTAACTCCTGATGCTGAACTGCTCCTTTGTGTCTCAGAGCTGGAACGTTTCTGCAGAATGCACCATCTTTCTGCCACAGAGATGAGAGATTAATATGAGGAAAACTCCCTCTTGATGTGTTTGGTTTTTACACATGTACTGTTCTGGGATCCCAAAGATCAAAGGTCATTTGTGAGACCTTAAATTTGCCTTGGCCTTGTTGCTTCATAGAGGGGAAGTGGGAAATACACACTCAACCTTCTGAAGGGCTTGATTCTAGGAGACAGTAAACCAGGGGCTGTCCACAAGCAGCCTCCTCTAGGCCCCAGGGTAGCTTTGGCATATATTCCTAGACTTTTGACCTTGCTTATGATCGTCACATGTTGGTGGGATTCTGTTGTAGGCCTTGGTATTCTCCAGGTGGTAAAAGATTCAGCTGGAGCCTTTAAAAGGTCAAGGCCTTGCTGGTGGTAGTGGTGTTGCACGTCTTTAATCCCAAGTAGTGGATGTGACTTGCACTCTGGAGGCAAAGCTACACAGGGAAACCCTAACAAAAAAACCAAAAAAGAAAAAAACCAAACAAACAAAAAGCCAACCACCACACCACCACCACCAAAGAGCCAGGCCTTTCTCAAACATCCAGTGTGGGTAAGTTCCAGTCCCTTGACTGTGGAGCAAGTGCTCCCCAGAGATGTGCCTCCAGATAGCAATTCTCTCTCGGCCTACATCTGAGCTTCATAAAGACCCCTGTGTTTCTACCACACCATCATGTACATTCCCAGCAAAGGGCGATGGGTCTGCTTGACAGAGAAGATCAAGACTGAAGGAAGGAGAAACCCCTTCGCTGGTAGACATGTTTCTTAGGAACTTGCAACGTGATATGTGGTCATCCTCACAGCCTTTTTGACAGGCTACTCTGAACGCCACTGAAATGAAGCCTTAGATGTATTTTAGGGACAGTGCTGTCTGTTTCTTCAGCCACATGGCTGTCTAGGAGATTGTAAACCTCTGCTCTCTGAGTGGCGCTTTCCTTTGGTGAACGCATTGTTTGCCATCTACTGTACCATCTGCCTAGAAGGAAGATGGCTGAAAACTTCTCTTATGCAATAGTCCTCGATACTTCTAATATTGTTAGCGAGAGGAAACTTTGTATACCAGAACCTTCCACTGCCAGAAAACACAATTCCAGTAAGAGCCTGTGTAAGGCTGATATGTCCCAACAGACTTACTTCCTTTGGTAGGACATCTGCTTTTTATAAACTCAACTGTAGACGCACAGCTTCACCCTCAAAGTTCAGGAAGAAACGTTCTGTGCACTTGCCCATCTCTATAAACTAAGTGAGTTTCTATGACTTCACTTTCTGTTAGCCATATTTTGGTACTTTGCTTTTCAAAAATGAGACTTTATTCCAGACAAGTAGTGGATGTGACTTGCGCTGGAGGCACCTGCTTGGAATCTGGTTTGCTTAGCAGCAGTTTGACAAGTGAACTGTTTTCTGTTAAACATGCAGAGGTCGTGTGGGCAAGAATGAAAACCATGTTAACTAAACTGAACACCACATGGAACTCACGATGAGTCCTGATGCTGGTGGACCGCCATCTGCACTGGAGCTGCTCTGTGCATTTCACTGTGGGGACAGCGGTGAGCGCTGAGCGAAGCAGGCTTGCTCCACGTTGGGCGTGAGCCTTCCCGGGGCACTGTTCACCTTTAGAAATTCATATTTAAAAGGCAAATCTTTAAAACCAGAGATGGTTTGTTCTAATGACACAAGTAGAACTTTGATTTTTTTTTCAGGCAAAACCATCAACAAGATGCCATGTAAGAGCAGCAAGCTCCATTCATGGTGCCAGGGTCTGGGCAATTTGATGATTTGTTAGGGCTCAGGGACCTTTGCATCTGACCTAATTTCAGGATCTGGTGTTAACTAAGAGAAATCCAGGAATAAATTTAACATTAAATCCAATATTTAATATGGATGGCCCAACAACAGGAAGCGGGATTCCTCAAGCCAAGCTGGAGGCTGAGGGGACAGTTGCACCTCTGGGCCTGTGTCCACATCCTGTCACCTCAGCTCAGAAGCAAGGCCTTTTAAATGGAGATTTTACAAAACACTGCCATTTGTGCAAAATAAAGTCCTGTGACAAGTTGTTTAAAAGGAAATAAAGTGTTTTCTTTACAGAAACAGTTGGTGATTCTTGGTGTGTCCTGAAATGGTTGGCCTTAAAAAAACCCTAAGCTGCGTGACCTCCTGACAGCATCGTCCCCACCATCGGCCCTTCGCTGACCCTTAGCTTCACCTTCATCTTTTCCTCCCTGGTTTTGTAGATCAGATACTGTTTATAAAGGCACTAGTGAGCAGTTATGTTTCAGACCATATCTTCATCATGGCCCATCAGGAGTCTGATCCTCGCAGAAGGGTCTATAAGCTGGTACTGTGGCCTAGTCAAAATATGTGTCCCAGAGAAGCAATTTCTGGTTGGTGCTTAGGGTGAAGCAAGATAAAGTTTAAGATAGAAAACCTTAATTTTATGACTTATTTAGGACATGTTTATTGAAGGAATTCACCCTTTTCTGCAGGCTTGTCATTAAATTAATATTTGTGTGTGGTTTTGATTTGTTTTTAGTTGTTAATAGCCAATATTTTCATGATTGTGCTATAATTAGAAACAGTGGTGTAGATGAAATGAGATTAAATATGACTTTAGTCCCATTTTTCTTGTGGCCATTGGTCTTTAAAACACTTGTGTTTTTGGATGACGGCCGTATGGTGATGTTAAAGAAGGTGTGTGGCTGGGTTGCAGCTCTGGCATCTGTTGGCTCTCAACCCACCACTCCAGAGTCTGCACTGTGCGGAGTGCGGCTCGGTGGCTTCAGGACGAATGCTGAATCAAGCACGCTCACTAGTCTACCAGTTCAGATGTCCTGGGTACCACCATCTTTCTCATTTTACTGTGTGCATTTGTAGACTGTTTGAATTTGTCATAATAAAGATATGTTTTATAATGGGAAAAATTCCTAGCAGATGATTCTGTGTAAAAGTTCACAGAAGGGAACATTTGATCAATCTTTATAGAATCCTAAATATTAGAACATTCTTTGAATTCAGTATAAGTTGCCAGGCCAAGCAGACAAAGCAGATGGATTACTTAGAAGCTGCAGTTGGGAGCATGGCTAGGCATTTTGATGAGGGACTGGATGGTCCTCGCTGGAGCTGTTATTAGCGTTTGGAGTTTCCTTCATGCTCAGCAAGGTGCTTGGGCGTCCTAGATGCTCTGAAATCAGGATGTGTAGAGCACCTTCTAATTGTGCTGCCATTGGGTAGGATGGGCCCTGTTGGGCACGTGTCACTGATACTGTGGTCATAGAATACAGGCTGCCCACCCCTCTTCTCTAGGTACTCGCTGTTCTCTGTTTCCATCCAGTCTTACACTTACCCAGCACCTCACAGGAAGTGATAAGGGCACATCTTTCTTCACAAGTCCAGGCAGGCAAACCCTCGTCCTTTTTAAACTTTATTATGCTAAAAATATATAAACTACACAGAACAGTGGTGCTCTAGACTGCTCCTTTGGATGACCCCACTGTGATAGACATTACAACAGCTGCCTAGCAACCCAGGAAAGATCAAGAAGGAAGAACAAATTCCCAAGATAATCCTGCTGGCCTATACATTCTAGAAAGTAAACCAGGTTCAGGTAGGTGTGGGTGGATGGAGATAACCTTCATGGATCCTGGCACCAAAGGCTTCCTTGAGGACAAGCATGTAGCTACTGGTGCGCAGCCGTCACAATGGTGTCAGCATCTGGAAGTCCGGAAGGATGTCTGCGACCTTCCGACGGAGTTGGTCTCGCCGTTCCTCTTTCACCCTTTCTTCTTTAGTAAATTTTACAAATGCCTTCCATGTCTGAAGCGTGACACTGAGAAGCTTCCTTTAAGGAGAAAAGGGGAGAGGTGGAAATCAATGGGAATTCCAACAGTACACAGTGT